GATTTCTAGTCCTTGAGGTGATGTACCAGCGTAAAAAGCAGGAGATAGGTCCGTTTTTCTTCCCCACTGTCCAGGGTGCTTGTACAGAGCAGGTGGGAATGGGAAACTGGCAGCCCACAGGTTTGAGAGGCATAAACATGGAAGTTCTATTTCCAGAAATGGATTCTGGTTAGGCTGTCCCTGTGTCTGGGTACCACATGAATTGTTGTCTCTCATTGTGAAGGTAGCTGACCAGGGACAAAAATCACACCGGGGCGAGAGGGAAAGGGAGGGTTTCATTTCCTTTTGCAGAAATTTGTTAGGGTTTTAGAAAATGTGCCTGTCACCTCGGAAAGTCAGTCAAGGTGACTCTGTTGCTCAAACGATTCCGGGCTTCTTCCAGGTGAAATCACTCTCCACGAGGCGATTGCATCAGAAAAGATCTCATCAAACTCTTCGAAACAGATGGCGGCAGCCAGCTTCCCTCCTGCGGGTGGTGGGACAGACTGTGATGGGTCCCGGGTCTCCGGAGCTGCCTGGTGAAATGCCACACACGCCCAATGAGGGCCCAGCTTAATTGAAGGATGCTGCTCCCTTGTTTATACTCTCATGTTTACAACTGCAGCTGTTATGACTGCAGGTAGTTATCATCATAATCTCCTCACCCTTAATTGGTGCCTTAGGTGAACTAGACAAGATGCAGAACTTACCATTAGACGTAGGACCCTCACTATTTTAAGTCTGGGAAAGCACTCCTGTGATTTCACAGGCACCCTGTCTGGCGCTGTGGCTGTCTGACAGAGAAATCTCTGTTAATTCCAGATTCCTCCGCAATCAGGTCATCTGATTGCTGGGAGTTTGGCCTAAAAAAACACACAACAGTATCCATAGGGCATGGGCCGATTCCCCTTTGGGGAGCCCCAAGCTTACCGTTTGGGGGAGACTCGTTAAGAAAGAGAATATAAAATATGAAACAAGCTTCAGGGCTCCTTCCAGCTGCAGTGTCTTCAGCTGCACGGCATTCCCTCTGCTGCAGGGGCGGCGGCCGGCCTCTGGCGGAGCGCCTCGCCCTCAGAACACACATTTACACCTTTCCAGGCGCGTGTGAGCCTCAAGACCCACAGCTTAGAAGGTGAATCAGCGCCCGATGCAAGCGACGCTTTCCCTGCGGAGAGCCTGGCTTTTGTTCCAGAACAGAGGCTGCAAATCGGTGGGCTGCGGGCCAGCCTGGGGCCGCAGATGGTTCGTTGTAGTGTTTTGTCTTTTTGTTCAGTGTTTCTTAAAAAATGTGAATTAAACTTGTCACACTTTAAAAACCATAACATTTCAAATAAAGAACGGATTTCTTTTTTTCTTTTCTTTTTTTTCTTTCTTCTTTTTTTTGCTTCTCTTGAGAAACGGAAAGATGGTTCCGCAGTGGACTTGGTCCTGACACAGTTTCAGCTTGGCCCTGTCCCCTCCTGGCTTTCGTCACTGTGTCCTGTTCGCCTGCCTGACCTGGGAGACATCTGACTCAGAAGGCCCTCGCCCCTGCCAGGTGCCTCACTTACCTTCACCCTAATCCTGCTCTGTCCCTGTCCTCATTGCTTTGGCCTCTGATTTCTAATCTTTTTTGATGTCTTAATGGTTTTTCTTTTAAAATAGTAATTGGCTGTGCATTAACATGTACACGCTGTTTTGTTAAAAGGTTTACACATCTTTTTTATTTTCAGCTTGCACTTGGTCGTGCTCTGATTAGTTCATGAAGAATATTTGAAAGACTATTTTGCTTACTTTTACACTTCATGTCAGCTTCTTCCTTTTTCTAAAATGGATTCGTTTTATTTTTTTAAAAAATTATTGTAATGAAAAATAGTAATGTTTTGGACTCTCAGGCCTCCTGTTGCCATCAGGCTTGACATGACCAGGATTGAGGCTGTTTCTTTGGATTGCGATCTCGACGACAGGGCAGCCATCATCTTATCACCACGGAGAACGCTCCCTTCTCCCGGAGGCACAGATGGTAGTTCATGGCAAGAGGTACATGTGGCCATTCAATTTGGACCTCTGCACTGCTGTTTACTAATTTCAGTTCAGGCTTCTGCATTAACTCCTTGGGATTTTTGTATTAAAAAATTTTTCAGGCCGAAACCGGTTTGGCTCAGTGGTAGAGCGTCGGTCTGCGGACTGAAAGGTCCCAGGTTCGATTCCGGTCAAGGGCATGTACCTTGGTTGTGGGCACATCACCGGTAGGGGTGTGCAAGAGGCAGCTAGTCGATGTTTCTCTCTCATTGACGTTTCTAGCTCTCTATCTCCCTCCCTTCCTCTCTGTAAAAAATCAATAAAATATATTTAAAAAATTTTTTTCAGGAAAAAATGTGATGAAATTTATTGTTGATTGATAGCTTAAGTCCTTTTTGAAAAAGGGCTCAGTATCAATCCATGTAGCAAGCAACAGAAACATACTGCCAACCCATAAATGATGCAGGTGGCTGATAGGAAAATACCCACCAGATTATCTGTAAGAAAACTCTCCGTTTTACTTGGCGAAAAATGTCAACAGTTTTTCACCACTTGTAATTCTGTTCCATTTAGATTCAAGCTTCAGGGAAGTCCTGTTTGGGGCATTCAACATATACTTTTAAAAAAAATCTATGAAAACTGTGGTTTAAAAAAGTTAACTTCCAATAAGCAGTTACTCAAATTAACACACAGCCTATATAGTTGGAAAAAGAAAAGATTTTTGGATATATATTTTATTTGACAGTGTTTTAGAATATCATACAGTAAACAAGATTTCTGTAAAAGTTAATTTATCCATAGTGGTGCGTTTCATAAAAATAGTTGCTCACTTACAGTCTTTCTGTGACTATTAATACATGGAATTATATTTATAGAGATACAGCTGTACAGGGTAAATTCACAGCTATCACTACACAGAAGTATTATTTGGAATGGGATTTAGATGATGTGCTGTCTTCACAGGTTATGGATTACAGCCGCATAAAGCAATTACTGCACACGTAGTAGCTGTGAACTGTGCAAATTAGAGTGTATGCAAGCGTAATCTCAAAAAAAAAAATTTTTTTTTTTATCCTTTTGTAATACGTGGAAAATAAATGCCAGAGGACATACCGGGACGTGCAGCTACACTTACAGAAGCATTGTCCAAAACCAGATTCAATAAATTAATGGCAAACGATACCAGATTTCTAGTCCAGGGGAGAGAGACTAATTGAGATTAAACCAAATGTAATTGTAAACTGCTACATGTGTTTGTGCTTTTGTTTATGATGGATGGGTTCCATTTTTGGAAATTGCTTTTACAAGCTGCAAGACTCCTGATTTGAGGCTTTCAACCATGTTTTCCTCTTGTCAAACAACCGAGCGACTCCGGAGCCCGATGGAAATTAAATGGCTAGTACTAGGGATACAGCAATTACAGAGAGGGAAAGAGTCAACACCGGGAGGCGATTACGTGTGACCTTGTGTGCGCACTGATCTCCCCGCTTTCCTTATTTGACTAGGAGGCCAGGGAGGTGAGGCTTATTTGCATTGGGACTCCTGTAAGGGGCCATGAAGGGGCAGGATGAAGCCTCCTTCGCTCAGGGCACATTAAAGATAAACTGCCCTCGGAGACATTTAGCTTTTAAATATGTGTCGCTACAAATAGGTACCCGTGTGTGGATGGAGAAGGGGCTGTGTAATAAACCTGACAGGCTCAGAGGGCTACGTGGCAGACCTGACATGCGCTGTGACCGAAAGTAACCACACGGGGCTGGAGGGGGGGGGGGGGGGGGGACGACCACAAATTCCTGTTTCTCCTTTAATTCTAAAGGAATAAAAGGAACCGGAAAACTGCCACTCCCCGCAGGATTCTCTTAATCCATGGAGACTTTGCTTCTGAGTATTTTCCTCAAAAATTTGGCTCAAATAAATTCTTATAAAATTTTTCTATAGGTTTGGAGGTTCTTTTGTCGACAAATGGATACTCCCCCCCCCCCCCCCAAAAAAAAAAAAGAAATATTAAAACAGCAGGGAAGAAAGGCAAGCCTGAAAGTTTTACTGGGGGATTAACCATAGATCAATGAAGATAAACAGAAACATCTAGAGCCTGCTGGAGAAATAAAATTTGGCAAACACCACCAGAACAAAAAGCCAAGCAAACAGAGATACCAAGGAGGAAGACTAAGGAAAGAAAGATAAGCAGAAAGGAATGCTAAAAAAGATTTATGTTCTTTAATGAAAATAAATTGGTCATAATAATGATTTCTTTTTTAAATATCAGGGATTCATCATAATCTGAGAAATATAGGAGAAGTACTTTGCTCTATGAAAGTGGAAATGACGTCATGGAAAGTGGGTTTTAAAAAAAGACAATACTATCAGTGAACTATAACATTGCTGTCAAAGAAGCTACTCTCTCTGCCAGCCTGAGCCAAATAGGAAAGCCTTTTCACACAGGAGCTGCAGCGTTGCCAATCTCGGGTTAAACCAATGGTGGTCTTTCAATTATTAAAAGGCGTATTTGAGATGAAAACCAATGAAGATCTATGAGCTAAACTGCAAAAATTCTGACTTACGGCAAACGGTTCCCTAGGATACAGTTTTGAAAACCTTTGTTCTCTAACTGCTGAAAATGTACAGAAATATGATTTGCTCGCAGGAGGGATGGCAGTACAAACGGCATCATACCCATGAATTCACTAGATTTTTTCTAACTTCTCCTGCGCTGCGCAGGGAACGTCGCTGCTAATGGATGAGCCATGGACACGGCGTGGGCGCACAGTTCCGAATGTGTCAAAAGAAACCTTTGAACCCCTGTCTAGAGATGTGTCAAGAACAATGTATTTACAACTCTTTCAGATCAACGAAAAGATAGACTCTTGTCTCAGGTTCAGCTTGCTTCCGTGCAGTTTGATTTTTTTTTTTTTTAAGGCGATATTCCAGTTTGTGATTGCTCTTAATCTGTCCAGTCTCTTGATAGAAAGTTTGGATGACATCCAGATCCTTCATGCAGTGGGGGGATATTTTCTTCTCTCTCTCTTTTTTTTGAAAACTAAAGCTACACTGCATTGTCTCTCCGTGATGCTCTCCACGTGGTTTTGGTTCTTCCATAGCTGCCAAAGCCCCCCCCCGCAGCGGGACCGGGGGCTTTAGGGTCCGTTAGGTCTGCGGTGGGCGGGCACCCACCCGGGCCGCACGCCGGCGCCCCCGGGCCTCGGGGCCGCGGGGATGGATGCGGTGACAGTGACAATAAATTAAATCGCCGGCACACGGGCTCGGAGACCGGCCGGCCGGCAGGCAGGGGCGTCCGGGCGGGGCAGCTCATCTGCCCGCGGCCGAGGAGGCGCCGGGCCGGAGGAGCCCAGACAGCCGGTCGGAGCCCGGCACCTTCCAGGGCCCCGGCGCCACCGCCGCCCTGCGCGCCGGAGCGCCCCCTGGAGGCGGCCGCGCGCCCTGCCGGGGCCCCGCGCGCGCGCCCGCCCGGCCCTCGGCCTCCCGCGCGCCGCTGCCGCCGCCTCCCGGGCCCGCGGCCCCAGGCGCGGCCCCGGGGCCCTCGCGGCGGCCGAGCTCGGGGCCGGGCGCGGCGGCTGCTCGGGACCCCTCCTCCGCCGCGGGCCCGGGCGGCCTGGCCTCCGGGGGGGCCCTGCCGGGCTCGGGCCGGCCCTGGCCGCCGGGCGCCTCCTCCAGCCGCGGCCGCGCGGCCCGCTGCGGGCTGGCCGAGCGCTCCCTCTGCTCCCCCAGGCGCTGCTTCTTCTGGCCGCCGGCCGCGAGCTCCTTTGGTTTCCTGGCGTCGCGCTCCCTTTGGGCAGCATCCCACGCCGGGGCTGGGCTGGTCGGGTGGCAGGGGTCGGAGGATGGGGCTGGATGCGATGGAGAGAATGGCGAGAGGACGTCCTCCGAGGAGGCGCCTACTTCCTGCAGACCGGGGGCGGCGGCAGCGGGGCCGCTCCAGGCGCCGGGTTCGTCTGCGGGACACGGAGCACAGGCGTTAGGGCCGCGGCAGCTGGCCAGGGGAGGCTGCTCACGAGGTCCCCCTTCCCCCCCACCCTTCAACCTCACCCACACCCTCACCCCAAAGCTCAGTGTCCCGCCGCCCTCTTTCACCCCGGCCCCTGCCCTCCTGGGGAGAGGAGGGAGCACCGCACAGCCTCCCCATCCCTGCTCCTAGGCCATTGCAACTGCCTGGGTGCCTGCAGGTTTGACAGCCCTGAGTGTATCATCTGACTCAGCAGTGCTTGACTCAGTGGTTCTATGATCCCGAGTTATACATCTGAGTATCCTGGGGAAGTTGTGAAACATACAGATTCCCCGGGGCCAGGCCCAGGGGGAGGACAGGGCCCAGGCATGTCTTTGCTTGTTGAACAGCATCCCTAGATGCTGAAGGTGGTCCAAGAACGAAGCTTTGAAGGATGCTGGTCTGAGTTCTCTGGGGAAAGTTAGAAGAGTGACTTTCTCCCACCATTAGGTGTCACTCAAAGCATAATCCTTAGCGACCCTCAGATAATCTCAGCATCGGGATCGAATCATCTAAAAACACTCATTGTTGCCTTTTGGAAAAAGCATCGTCCTTAATTCTTTTCAATAGTTGTAACATGATACAAGTCCTGGCACTAAGATAATGGGTTCTTTCGAGGAAGCCTAGTCTCGGGATTTATTTGGGATTTAAGATCTACTTTAAGAAAGGATTTGAGATAATTTGCAACTATGAAACATACAAAATAGAGTGATAAAAAAATTAGAAATGGCTTGTTTTCTTAAACAAAAAAATGCAACCACCATTCAGAAGCGAAGGATGTATTAGGAATCTGAGGGGAGTTCAGTCACTACTATGAGCAGTAACATTACCCTTGAGTTTCTGGCCACTAAAGCAAAATTAAAGCAGAGAAATCCAATACAAGTGAACCTTCAATATTTGTGACATATGTCCTAAGACCATTGGAAATCCTCAAATTTGGGGGTGTCATTGTAGAGTGTCATTTTTCTCCGTAGAATTGGTATATGGTCACGAGTGGGGAACAAAGAAGCCACATCGATATCTGAATGCTGAGTGGCAAGCCAGGCATCTTCATTAGCTATGAGATTCAGTCCCACACACCAGCCTCAGTGCATATGATCCAGATTCCTGCTGCTGCAACATTGTGTGTCAGAGGCTGTCAGGGGCCCTTATGCATGCTCCGTCTGTGAATGCCCAGGGTCTACTTGGTTAAGTTGAGGATTCTTATCTGTACCTTTGCTGCTGATTTATAAAGAGAGGAGAGGAAGAGGGCAGAATAGTCCCACTAATTCTGGTCATCTGTAGAATACTACAATAAATCAGTCGCAAAAAAAAGTTTCTCCTTTGATGTGAAATCTGATTTTGAATAAGTGCAGTAAGCCAGCCACACCCATAGGCTGTGATTCTTTGGGCTCTATGTCAGGTATCCTTGGTTACCTCAAGAACTAGTCTGAAATCCTCAAGTGCAAATTGGGGTATGTTCAGCCTCTGGCTGGGCTAGCATTTCAAAATCAAACTAACAAATGATACCTGGTGGCAATTCCACCACGATAGGAAGATATTGACTGAAAAGAGTTAAAACTGGTCTTCAAAAGACCTACCTAGAGGATAGTTGTACAATGTTCATCTCTAACTTGGACCACGGGAATGATATTTCAGATTTTTATAGCTCTTTCCCCACCATTACATCACATACAGTGAAGCCAATTAGCTGGCCTCAAATTACGTCTGAGGTACAGGGAGGCTGAGTATTCACCCCATTTCCTGAAGGAGGAGCTGAAGCAGAGAGAAATTAAGTTAACTTGACCAAGATTACAAAATGGGTAAGCCAAGAGTAAAATGTCTGGTTTATCCTTGTAACTTACTGAGAAAAATTTCCCAAGGTGTAGCCTTGCAAATAGGATCAAAGCATGTGAAATAGGCCAATGGCCACTGCTGACCAACAGGGTCTAGAGCCAATAATGAACAGAATAATTAGCATTTACTTTTGAACAACTTATTTACGGTGATAAAAGAGAAGGTGAAAAATTTTCAAAATACAAAAGTATAAAAGAATCCCTCTTATCAAAGATTTCTGAAGTGTTTGTTCACAGATTATTAAATGCTTAATGAGAGGAATTTAAAGCTAAAATGTGCTAAGCTACTATTTACTAAGAATATTAGTCAGAAATTAAAATGAACTAGATAACCAAATAAAATGATTTAAAAGATCGATGTTTGTGTATGTGGCTTCATAGTTGCGGGAAGCCACTGCTTGCTGATACTGTCACCACAGTGAACCAAAGGAATGGAAGGCTGCTGGACCTTGGGCGTTAGCAGGGCTGTGGTGGTTCAAGGCAATTCCCTAACTTGATAATCCTTTTACTGTTTACCAAACTTTATCTTTGATATGCCCGCATGCATTGCTAAAGGATAAATGTATATTCAAGTCAATAAAAGGTGGACCAGGCCAGAGGTTGGTGTATCTGTTTAAGAAAGAGGTGCCCCTTGGCCCCCAATGCCTTCTAAATTCATATTTCTTGTGTAGCATTTTCATTTTTTGTGTGTTGGCCCCTCCTTCAGATCCTAAATCCTGCCGTGAAGGTCATGGAAAATAGTTTTCATTTTGGGGGACAAGAATTCCCCAGTTCAATACTAGACCTGCAGCATCTGCACCAGACTGAGCCTGCAAAGCTCCTTCAGAGCAGCAGGGACAGGTGGCAGGCCACCCCTTCCTCACCTGTCCTGTCACCGGCCTCATTAAGGTAAATGATTCCACTTGTTTATGCATTCATTGGTTGATGCTTGCATGTGCCCTGCCCAGGAATTAAACCTGCAACCTTGACATATCAGGACAACACTCTAACCAACTGAGCTTTCCAGCCAGGCCCCCCTTGGAGAGAGTCTTAAAAACAGAAATGGCAGTGTTGTCAGAGCCCAGGACAACTAACCTCGTTACCAACTAACCTCAAACAGGTGGGCCTGTCTAGCTGTTGTTTCTCACACGGGCAGCTACAATAACCCACTTTTCTCTTTACTTCTACTCTTGCCTACCTTCACAACCCTTCATACAGAATCCACAACACCTGTTTGAGACATTAATTAGATCATACCATTCCCTTGCTTGAAACTTTTGGTGGATCCTCACTGCTTAAAGTCCAAAATTACAATCATGACCCACAAAAGCCTGACTCTAGGTGGGTAGCTCAGTTGGTTAGAATGTTGTCCCCATATGTCAAGGATGGGGTTCAATCCCCACTCAGGGCACATATAAGAATCAACCAATAAATGCATAAATAACTGGGACTACAAAGTAATGTTTCTTTCTCTCTCAAGTCAACAAATCATTTTACTTTATTTTTTTAAAGTCTGTGTGCTCTGGCTCTTGCCAGCCTTGTCAACTTTATTTCCCTTCATTCCCTAGTCTCCTCGCACCCTGGCCTTAGTTCACAACCTCAAATGCACCAATCTTGTTCTTATTTCTGGGACTTCTTTGCTGACTCCTCTGTCCAGACCGGACCATTCTCCCCCAACTAGTCACATGGCACATTCCCCTTTCTTCTTTAAGACTCTTAAATAGCACCTCAGGGAACCCCAGGCAAAGCCAAGCATTCTCCTCTCCTCTTTCCTCAAGAGCATCTTTACTTTGTTTCCTCACAGTGTTTATCATTTGTAATTATGTATTTGCCTGCTTTCTAGATTAATATCAGCCTCGGTGACTAGATTGTGAGCTTCGTGACAGCAGTGGCCACCCTGGTCTTGTTTATCACAGTGGACTTAATACCTAGCAGACTGTGTGACACAAGAATAAGTGCTCCATGAATACCTGATGAACACGTAAATCCTTCCACAAATAGAAACGGAAGACTTGAATCAAAATGCGTACTCGAGGGAATACTTCAGAGAGAAGATCTTTATTTAAAGAATAATCTGCCTCTAACAGTGTGGATGTCTCTGAGAACATAGACTGAATAATATAGAATTATATATTAGTATATATGTACACAAATTACACACACACACACACACACACACACACACACACACACCATTATCTTTGAGTTAAAAGACTATTTCTTAAATTATGGGAACCCAGAGTATTGAAAAATAAAACTCTTTCAATTCATATATGCCTTAGATAAAAAAAAAAAAAGCTCATCTATTATGTTTGAGCATCTTATTTATTTTGTGGGATATAAACCAAGTGACAGTAACCAGAGAGGTGACCCACTAGGAATAGACCGCTTATTGCAGACTTGCATTATTGGTTTCCCCAGGTGGCTCTTATATCCGGCAAAAACATGTGCAGAAAAGGAAAACATAAATCAAGGAAGAATCAGTTAATTTTATCCGATGCTGAAGGGTAAGGAAGACCCCTCGGGAGGGACCCAGGGATTGTCTCAGGGGAAAGGGGTCCTGTCACCTGAGAGCCTTAGGGCTTCCAGGTTGAGCCTAGCGACTGCCCAGTCCCTGGATAAGAGCTCCCACACTGTTTCCTTTCTCTCCACCCAGTGCTACTACCCAGAGCGCAATGGCTGCTTTTGGGTAAGAGTGTTGAATGTAATACTCTTATTATCACCATTAGGTTGTACTAGTAATGGCAACAGCTAACCTTCATGGAGATGATTATTAGGAACCAGGCACTCTTCTGAGCTTTTTTACTCATAAGAAAAATGTACACATTTTACAGGTGAGGTTAAGCCACTTGTTGAAGGCTGCATAGCTGGTAGGTGGTGGAACAGGGTTGCTGAATGATTTTCTGAAGCACTGTCACTGGAATCCTTTGCTATCCACTGTGAGATGAGTGAAAAATGGGATTCATCTCTTCTGGGCTATGACAAAACCTCCGTCTTGCCCTGGGCAGTTTGGCTCAGTGGATAGCAGAACCACGGGTCCTGGGTTCTGTTCCGGTCAAGGGCTTGCACCTTGGTTGCAGGATCCTCCCGGGCCCGTGCCCTGGTTGGGGCTTGTGCAGAAGGCAACCAATCAATG